AGAGGGAGAAGCAGGCTTCCCGCGGAGCAGGGAGCCCGATGCGGGGCTCGATCCCAGGACGCTGGGATCATGACCTGAGCCGAAGGCAGCCGCTTAATCAACTGAGCCACCTAGGTGCCCCATTATTTTTTATTCTTTTGTATAATTGCTCACCATTGCAGAACCTGAATTTTAGATTAATTTCTAGATAGTTAAAAGGTTATCTCTGCATATTATTCTTCAGAGCATGTATCAAATGACTACTTTTTTAGAATCCTGAAATATATAAATTAAAAAGACTATAGAAATTATTTAGATCAGATTTATTTATGAATGATAAAAGACTAAGAGCAGTTAAGTAATAGAAGGATCATAGCTGAAATTTAGGTCTCCTTGTTAGGAAAATAGTCAAAGAAAGGGATGATAAATCAACAGGATAGTAAAGTAAAACATAAAGTTTTGATAAGATGAAGGTGGTGAAACAGACCATAACTAAAAAATAATAATTCTTGATTCATCAGCATACATCATCATAATCTGCTTAGGTACAGAAACAAGACAAGTCCTGCCAAATTGTATAGGCCAAGTAAAAAGTGAATCCTTCTACCGATGCTATGCATAGACACAGTTTAGATCACCTAAAAGCTAAATACGTTTGAAGCAGCAGTCTAAGGTGTAAGTGTGAATTAGTTTTGCCTTTATGTACTCTTATAGTTATTTGCTTTGTTTTCTTTTCCTAGATACTTAATCCGACCAGATCCGCTGGCATACCTTCCAAACAGTGAGCCCAGTCAAAAAAACAGCATCTGCAATGCCGTGGCTCAAGACTCTCGGGAGGAAACTCAGCTTTGATAAAAGGAAAATAAGAGACCCTTTTTCCCTACAAAAATCTTGCTTGAAACCACTCTAAATCTTAGGGGAAGAATGAGTGGTGCTGGCATGAAAGAAACATGATCAGAATATATTCAGTTCTCTCGTATTAAAAGCAATCTATTCTCTTAGAAGTCTAGATTATTTTGAAATTTAAAGTATTGCTTATTGGTACTCCTCCTATTAATCTGAAAGACATCAATGGAATGATTTTAAAAACCTAAATTAAAACCAAAAATTTAAATCGGGTATTTGTTTGACAATAATCCAAACTTTAAGAAGCTAATATTTAAAAGTATTAAGGTTTTATGAAAGTAAACAGAAAATCCAACTATATTTGGTGCATCACAATGGACATAGAAGATTGTGGCTCCTCTTAAAAATTAAAGTCATATTATATTCTTTAAACTTGCCGTTTTATAAAACTGAGCTCATCATAAATGTCTAGCATCTACACAAAGATTAACCAACAAACTTGTGTGGCTGACTTTTGTGTAAGACTCATAGTTTGCTTTAGAGTATAAATCTTTAAATCATTTTAACCTTTTTTGTTGCCTTTTCATATGATATCATATTCATTTTAGAATTTGAGATGTTCACAGCATGTTTTAAAACAGTGAGGAAACCAAAACAAACAAAAAAATATCAAGTACCTGAACTTTTTGCTAACTTTATGTCTGACACACATTGTATGCCAAGAAAAGTGTTAAAAAGCAAATATTTATTATTCTCCTAAAAGAATGCCTAACAGAGAAAATACTAAAAACACATATGTTGACTTAAATTGAAGCCAAGAATTAAAACATTAACTGGTTTTCATTAGGCTCTTGAGCTTTAACATTTTCATAATCTATATAGTGTATTTCATTAGAAAGAGACTTTAAAATTCAATCAGGCAAAATTATACCTTTTATGGAATAGAAGGACATTCTAAAACATTAAAAGTCCTCCTCTATGCTTTAGTATTGAAATACTCACACGCAAAACAATGGTATGTTAAAAAATTTGATTTAATTTTGAAAAATCATCTGTAGGACATAGGTTTTAACACTGTGAGGAAAAAACATGTAGTGAAGATAGGTAGTTTTTGCCATTGAAATTTAATATAAATCATGAAGAATTTTACAGTTATAAATTAAATATAAATTGACCCTTGGTGTTATTTTATTGCTTTATTCCCCTTCAGAAATAGACTGAAAAGCACAAGAGCAGAGTTTGCCTTGTAGTTGGAATGTGTTAAGGTATTCCCATGAGAGAGATATTGATAAATTTAAAAAGATATTTTTCCTCTAATTTTGTATTTTAAAAAATTTCTGGCCTTGACATTGAATTTTAATTTCACAAAAAATTGGACATATAAGACTAGGAAGAGACATTTTCTTTTTCCTTTTCACAAAGAAGCAGATAGGTTGGAAAGTCAGTAGAAGAATTAAAAAAAAAAAAAACATAGATAAAGAAAGCCTAAAATTCCCCAAATAATTCTATGGAAACGAAAATGTAAAACCTAACATGTGAAATTATAGCTTGATAGCCATTGTATAATTTGGCTTAGAGAAGATTCGTTATTGTTGTTTTTTAGTATTTTTTAGTATTTTTAGTGTTTTCCATTACTCTCATTTTAGAATAACAAAAACACCAAGAATGTCCCCTAAAACAGGGAAAGCCTATCGTTAACTTTCTTTTTTTTTTTTTTAAAGATTTTATTATTTGACAGAGAGAGACACAGCGAGAAAGGGAACACAAGCAGGGGGAGTGGGAGAGGGAGAAGCAGGCTCCCTGCTCAGCAGGGAGCCCGATGCGGGGCTCCATCCCAGGACCCTGGGATCATGACCTGAGCCGAAGGCAGACGCTTAATGACTGAGCCACCCAGGTGCCCCTATCGTTAACTTTCTTTAATCAGTCAGGGAAGTAGAGAATTTATAACAAGTTACCTAAAATTGGAAGCGGACCTTAAAACGAAGATTGTATGCATATTCATGCATGTATGTTGTAGACACGTGAAATATATTTGGCAAACTTATATATTCATCTGTAAATTATTCAAGCTAAAGGCAGAATTGAACTAATATATGTAATGGAGAACAATAATGAGTTTAATTAATTTATTTTATATTTGACATCAATTATCAAATGTGATCTTTGAGTTGCCATTTCATTACTCCCTTATAGTTCTTTTTAGGAATAAATGTAAGATTTTATGAATATTCTATTTCCCCAGGAGATCTCAAGCTTAATATTTTTGCATTTTGACCATTGTCAAGACTAGGACTCTAAGCTAGGACATGACTATATTTCCTATAAAACTAAAAGTTTTGTTTCATAAATTTTACAATAATTATTTTTGATTATGAACATTAGTCCAAATTTAATAATTGACACAATTCGTAACAGCTTGCTATAATAATGATAGTTTATTAGTTTTTCTGTTATTTAAAGCATAAAAATGCTTCTAAAAGCCTTTTAACGAACTGTTGCCTTTTTAAAATACTTGCACACAAAAATAAACCATAAAGTCAGTAACAGTCCTTGTAATCCTATGGGAATTGGTTCTGTTTATTGTCTATGTACCATTTTGCTACCAGTTACATTGAATCGCTTAAAATAAATAATAAAAATTATTTCTGATGGTGAAAACCCTTGGTGCTTTTTGCCAAAACTTCAATCGTTTAACCAATTATGTTTTGAAACTACAAAACTCCTTTTGTCACTTCTATATAAAGTAATATAAACATGAAGAAACACCAACATGAACAATGAAGGTCGTCTCATTGGAAAAGATAGCCATAAAAAACCTGTTGAATCACTTCTTAACGTAATAGTTTCTGAATAACTATGTGGTAGGAAAAGAGGAGGGAGGAAGGGTCAGGGAGAATGGAGGTAGTGAAGAAGTGAACAAAGGGAAGGGAGGGAAAAGCAGAAAAGAAAAGGAAGGTGGAAAAGAATGAATGTATGTGCTAGAAGAGAAATATTTTTTTATGAAACAGATACACTAATTTAAAGACCAGATACACTAAAGACCAGAAAAGCACTGGCTAGATAATATATAATTTTAAATGCAAAGATAGACTTTTGGCTCCAGGGAAACGGAGCCTATTCCTCCTAAGTACAGATACAAACTCTAGATATTATTTATCAAACAAGCATCAGAAGACTGAAAAGTGAAAAGAAGAAGGAAGACAGACCAGGAAACTGGGTCTTTCAGAGCAGCATGGTGGTGAGTTCCCTGGGGTTTTTTGTTGCCTCCTATGTAGCCTGCTCTGCATATTGGGAAATGCCGAGGAGCACGGACAAAATGTCCCAGAAATAACCCGCTCTCTCCGTGCAAGGTACTGACTGCTGCAGCGGGTGCAGCTTCCAGCACAGACTTCTGATGCGCCTGCCCTTCTCCAGTCAACCTCCCCAGGGGCCAGGAGCCCCCCTCAACACCCCCTCAGATACTGTTGTCCTTGAATGCCTCCGGTGAGACCATTCCCCATGAACGACTCCCCCCACATCTCCAGCAGGTTCTGCCAGTTGACAGTACCACAGTGACTTTCTGCAATTCTGTGGGCCACAGCTGTGACATCTCTTGCAGCCTTGAGTTCAGTCCCGGGGTCTCCTCGCGGGGCACTCTGTCTCAGCCCTGATAACGACTCCCGCTCCATACGGCCGCTGTTGCCATATTATTTTCAGTTCTCTTTACTTATTATTGACCCATCTGTCATTACTGCAAAGCTCTGCTACAGCTAATAATTCTCTACATTAAACTTTGTCTAAATCACTGTGTGGTTTCTTTCTCTAGATTGAATCCTGGCTGAGACACGACGCACAAATCAGCCGTTCTTCGATCTGATTAAATCTGTGATAATGTTGATACCAAATTTCAAGGACTGCAATTTAAAGGACAGATTTTGGGAACATTCAACAAATTAAGTAGCATCTGCTGGGGAACTTTTAAGACAGACCATGCTTGGGGCGCCTGGGTGGCTCAGTTGGTTAAGCGCCTGCCTTGGCTCAGGTCATGATCCCAGGGTCCTGAGATGGAGTCCCACGTGGGATCAAGCCCCCAGTCGGGCTCCCTGCTCAGCGGGGAGTCTGCTTCTCCCCCTCCTTCTGCCCCTTCCCCCCACTTGTGCGCTTTCTCTCTAATACATAAATAAAATATTTTAAAAAATAAGACAGACCATGCTCATCCTGCGGATTATTAGACCACTTTATATCATTTTGCTCTTCTCTGCTTTTTTTTTTTTAAGACTGCTCTCCAAGCTATTTTATTTGGAGGAACATGTCAGCTTTAATTATTGTGGATCAATGTAATATTATACCAAATTGTCCTAAAAGTATAGTTATTCGGCTTATAATTAAAGTCTGTGTTCTATCTTACTACACAATAGAATTATATTATTTATATCTAAAAATGTTTCAATAGAAACAAAATAATGATCTGTCTTCCTAAGTATAAATATAGCAGAGATCTTTAACAAATTGTACTGTAATTTAGTCTCACTCTGAAGAAATTTATAGTTCTACACAGAGATTTATATTTCCGTTTCTACCATATACAAAATAGGTTTCATTTCATGTGATACCAGGCCAGATATCTTTGCATTTGTAAGTTAAATACAATTCAGAAAGGAAACATTCCTAAGTTTACAGACATCATTCCCTGATCAGTATGTTATTAATATTTGTATAGAATAAGAAAGTTTAAAATGGTCTTGGAACACGAGCATTTATTTTCTTCTCTGAAAACTCTCAGTTCGCCAAAGACAGGGCTATGAGATGTTCTTATTACTAGACCTGTGGTAAGTACTGAAGTTGAAGTTTATAAATACAGTGCTTAGTCTTAGAGGACACAAATAAATTATATAATGGCTAAAGTAATCATTTTTAACTTGTATTTTTTAATACTGATGATTGCCATATGTCAAAAATTATATCATTATGCATCAAATGTATTAGATTCTAAATTTGAATGGAGACCAGAGAATGAAACCCACAAAAAAATCTGTCAATCTATCAGTCTTAGTCCATTTGGGCTGCAAGAACAAAAATACCATAGACTGGGTGGCTTAACAAACATTTCTTTTTCACAGTACTGGAGGCTGAGAAGTCTAAGATCAAGACATCAGCAGATACAACGTTTGGTGAGGACCTGCTTCCTGGTTTATAAATGGCTTTCTTCTTGGATCACCACGTGGCAGAAAGTGGAGAGAAGCAAACTTTCTTGGGACTCTTATAAGGGCCTGAATCCTATTTATGAGAATTCTGCCCTCATGATGTCATCAAATCTTAATTTCCTCCTAAAGACTTCAGCTCTTAATGTCATCACATTGGGGGCTAGGGTTTCAGCATATGAATTTGCAGGGTGGGGGCATATAAACATTTGGTCTATAACATTCTGTCCCTGTCCCCATCCCCCAAATTCACAGTTTTTTTCGCATGCAAAATACATTCATTGCATCCCACAATTTCCAAAACTCTCAACTTGTTTCAGCATCAACTCTAAAGTCTAAAGTCCAAAATCTTATCTAAATACTATCTAAATCAGACATGGATGAAACCCAAAGTACAATTTATTTACTTACTGTTTTAGTCTGCTTGGGCTGTTTTAATAAAATACAATAGACTGGGGGTTTTAAATAACAGAGAGTTATTTCTCATGGTTCTGGAGGCTGGGAAGTCCAAGATCAAGGCAGATTTGTTTGGTGTTTGGTGAGAGCCCACTGCCTGGTTTGCAGGTGGCTGTCTTGGGGTACACTCAAATGGCAGAGAGTAGAGAGAAGCAAGCTCTCTCAAACTCTTTTAAGGGCATTAATCCCATTCTTGAAGCTTCACCTTCATGACTTCATCTAACCCTAATTATCTCCCAAAGGCACCTAACATCATTACACTGGAGGGTATGATTTCAAAATGCAGATTTGAGGGAGACACAAATATTTAGTCTATACTGGTCATAAGATCTCACAAGGAAACTGGAATTTTGTGATACATATTTGGCAGGACAGGTTTGGCTATACTGCAATAATGCATAAACACCATAATCTCAGGGCTTAATATAAATAAAAGACTATTTTAATCTAGAATAATGCCCAATGAAGAAAATGACCTTAAGTTTTAGGTTAAAGATTTTATAAATATATATTCATTGGAAAAATATACATTTCCAGATCATTTAAGTAACATAAATATAACAGAAATGGTTATTACCTTAACTAAGAATTCAAACTTGGACAGAAAAAGTTGAGAAAACTGTAATAATCTTGAAAAATACTTCAGTTTTCATGTTTTGCACCAACTAAGGTACAAATGATTTGATTTTGAAAATAGAATATCTTATGATCACTTTTTAATGAAAACTAATTGATTTTTAATGTTTTTGGCAAAAAGCATGCTGTGAAATGACTATGGCATGACTGAAATTTCCACTGGAAAACATGTTGCTAAAAATAATTAAGTAGCTGTG